AGGCATGAAAGAAGTCATAGTGGAGACAAACCGTATGAATGTAATCAGTGTGGTAAAGCCTTTACCCGTCACCAAAACCTTCAAACACATGAAAGGAGCCATATTGAAAAAGCCCCTGTGAATGTAATTGATGCACTAAAACTCTGCAGGTCAGTGTAGTCCTCAAACATCAAAGAATAGTGAAGAAAGCCAAAGAAATGACAATGTGATTATGCTTCTTCATGGTACAGTCTTCTTCAAAGGCATGAAAGGGTTGCTGTCTGGAGAGAAGTGTTATGAATCTAGTAAATTCAGTAAAGCTTTGCATACCACACACTATTCCCACTGAGCCATCTCACTGATGCCCAAATAGGATTAGTAGAGCCTTTCCATCAGTCAAATACTGTCTTCTTTTGAAATTTTAAGCAAATTGTCACCCAAGAATTGAGGAGCACAGAATATTTTGAATAATACAACCAATTTGTAAACGACAATGGTATATATCCTGCCATCCCTCTTAAAAAATTTTGTTAGTTTATTTTAGGCACTAAATGCTTGTTCCTAACACTTTCTCAGAAACATGAATGGCAGAGAATTGTCTCAGTGGGTAAACGTGGTTGCTACTAAACCTGAATACCTGAGTTCAGTCTCTAGGATACACACATTACTCATACCAGTTTTTCTCTGATTACTATACTTGGGCTGTGTCATGCACACCACACACCCACACACGTGAATATTTTTGTAACTAGTGAGGTTGCTCTCTTGTTTAATGCACTTGCTCCCAAACTTGACTACCTCAGTTTGTTCTCTAGTACTGACACAGAAGTAAAGAATGCTCACCTGTAAGATGTCCTCTGCCTGCTAACGGCACAGCGTGGCACAGGTGTTTACAAACTGTTAAGAATATCTAAAGAGGTGAAATTAACAAAGCAAAGAATAGCCAAAATATTGAGAACACAGGAAATGATTACCAATTGAAATGAATACATTGTAGGATTCTATCACATCACTGTTCAACAAAAATGAGAGTTACTGTTTAAATCTTCCATTATTTGTCTCTGATTCAAAGATAGGCCATTTTATAAACATATCTCAACTGGTCATATTGGTTTATTTTGGAGACAGGCAGATGGATCTTTGCCCCACGCTACCGTCTCGCCAGCAAGATCTTTCTGAGTTTGAGGCTATTATGGTTTACATAGTGAGTTCCAGGATACTAATGGCTATCTAGAGAGATCCTGTCTCAACCAAAAAGAACATTTAGGTAACTATAGCATATATCACAGTATGGATTTTTTTTTCCTAGCTTAATCTGGACTCATCTCTAATCAGCTAAACCCTTCATTGTATTCACTCACATCAAGAGAACTGTGTTAATGGCAATAAGAAGAAATGTGCAGAGTCCATTCACAGAGGGAAAGGAATCTGTTCAATCCTTTGGAGACCATGTAGCAGGAATTTTCATCACCTCCAAGTGAGAGAAAATAGAAGGAGTCATGGGGCATCTTCATCTTCCGAATTATAATGACATATTTGGGTATTGGACAGTTGTTTCAGCACTTGTGCTATAGGGTACCCAGTTTTGATTCCTAGTGCCCTCATCAGATGGCTCAGAACTACCTGTACTACAGCTCCAGGAAATCTGATGCATTCTTCTGTTTTCTTTTTGTATGAGATATGCAAATGGTATAAAGACATTTTTTTTAATATAATTTTCCAAGTGTAAAAATAAAAACTTAAAGAAAGCCCTTTTAAAGTTATGGAGTTGTGTACACACACACACACACAGTGTTTAAATATATGCATAAAAGATACTACATATTGTTAAAAGGGCCTTTATGTTTTTTACAAATTTAAATAAAAATAGTTTAACTTAAGTATGTTGTCAGAACATGGTCCTATAATAAAATCATGTGAGGCGATTTCTGGATGCTTGTGAGAACACTCCCAGGAATACAAAAAAGAGCCTTGTGACCTCAGTTTCTTCAAAACAGAATTGTTCTTGGAATGTTTTTTTATGCTCTTCCTAGGTGTAGCAGATAAGAGTGAGTTTACTTCAGATTACTTATTATTGCTTGCTACTGTTATTCAATTAAATGTTTAAACTATCTTTTTCTATGCCTAATGGAAAAATGTTTTCCACGTCTGGCTTGTCTCTGTCGTTGTATACAGCCTGAAGTCATGAGACCTTATATGACTGTCTTAATTACTGCGTATAAAGTGTGTTGGACCCTGAATAAAGTTGTCTGTTGTGAGAGACTAGTCTGCCTCCTTTATCAGCTCCATTCTTCCAGATCCCCTCTAGAACAATGGTGAGCAGAGACTGAGCAAGGACCACACATCAGGTACAAAAGGTGAGTGTGGGCCCTCGCAGAAGGGGGTAAAGGACAATAATGGGGCAGACACCAAGAAAGGCTTTGACTTTGTCAGGCTTTTGCATCATTTTTTTTTTCTTAAAAAAAGGGAAGCACAAGCATTAAAACCTCAACTATTCAACTGTCTGCAAGTTGCTTATGAGTATAATCCCCGATTTCCAGAAGAAGAAACTTTAAATGAAGTATGGGACAGAATCCAAAATAATATTGAAAGGAACATGAACTCGGTGAAAAGCCTTCTAGGCTTCTATTATTCAATAAGGATGATATCCTCTTAGTCACCTCCAAAGAGGAAGACTTACAATCTATCTATGAAATGACTCAGGACATAGTATGTCAAAATGGGCTAATTATTACACTAAAAAGGTACAAAGATCAGATATTGTGCAACGTTTGGGACAACTGGTTACTAGAGCAACACAAAAAAATATCCATACACAAAACAATTTAAAAAAACAGTTAACTTTCAGAAGTTATTAGGGGGTATTTAATTGGGTATATTCCACTTTAGGAATGCCAAATTATGCACTAACCATACTATTTAAAAACTTTAGAAGGTTTCCTTGCACAGTCCTTGAATATTATCTCATGAGGCAAGAAAACAGCTACAGCTATTTGAAACCAGACTAGAAGAGGCATTGTGTATTATGAAGGTACTTTGCTGCCTTTAAACTTATTTTCCTCAGTAACTTATCTCCTATAGGTATTATAGCACCAGAGGATGGAAAGTTTACACCACAGTGGTCTCAAAATACTAAGTGCTTTCCTTACTCTTCTTGCTGTATTATGTTAACCCCTAAAAAAAAAAATCAGTGTTTAAGAGTGTAATACAAGTCTGTGGATTTTCAGATTTTATTTGTAGATTATCATGGAAGGGTAGAAAATTATTAATCATTTGGCCAGCAATTAGATTTTTTTTATGAACTGAATTTGTGATTACAAAAATTGCCAACCTCTCATTCCACAGGCAGATACTTATTTTATTGATGTCTTATCTAGTGGTATAGGAAGAATTCAGTCCTGATAACTCATCAATTTATTAATATTTCTCATTCCTTTATTCAATGGGTGCAAGTGGTGTTTTGATTCATCTGTAATGATTAATACATTAACTCTTAAATATCATTTCGGATTCTGCTTATGTAGTTGGGTTTTTCCCAGCAATAGAACCTGCTTCAGTTTTGTCTTCACATCCTGCTATGCTCACATCACTACAGGAACTACAGCAGGTTCAAAGTCTTCACACATCCTTTGTTTATTCATACTCATGCACATTTTAACCTCCGTGTCTTTATTGCAGAAATAAAGAAGCAAGCTTATGCATGAACCTGCCTGATTTTCACTTCTCCATAACAGAAACATCAACACTGTACACTGATACTAATTGACTTCATGTATAGTACGCTACCCTGCAGAAACAAGTGAGACAACTTGTACAGGAATGCCCTGTTTGTGCTCTCCTACACTGTCTGGCCATGTAGCTGACGGTATTCCCAGAGTTAAAAATACTAA